CTTCTCTTCTCCAGGCTAAACAGGCCCAGCTCGCTCAGTCTTTCCTCATACGATAGATGCTCCAGTACCTTAATATTCTTTGTCGCTCTCTGCTGGACCCTCTCTAGAAGCTCAATGTCCTTCCTGTGCTGGGGAGCTCAGACCTGTCCCCAATACTCCAGGTGCAGCCTCACCAGAGCTGAGCAGAGAGGCAGGATCCCCTCCCTCAACCTGCTGGCAATGCTCCTGATGCAAGCCAGGATCCCACTGGCCTTTTTGGCCACAAGGGCACATTGCTGCCTCACGGTTAACTTGTCGTCAACCAGGACTCCCAAATCCCTCTCTGTGGAGCTGCTTTCCAGCAGGTCAACCCGTAATCTGTACTGGTGCCTGGGGTTATTCCTCCCCAGGTGCAGGACCCTGCACTTGTCCTTGTCTTGGCAAAACAGAACTCCTCTGCCCAGCTCAGATCACAAAAGGCCTTACCAAAAGCTGCCACTGTGAGCGGTGATTTACCATCCGTAGGAGTGGGCATGGGCAGGTAGCCGGAGGACTCTGGCATTGGGGTGGCTGTTTGAGAGGTGCCTGTGAGAGAAATGGGGGGGAAAGTAGCTTTACGTAAAGGTTTTCTTCCAAGACGAGAAGACATTTCCTAGCAAAGCTACAGGGCTTGTCACTTTACCTTATTGAAGAGGATAAGAGTGGATGCTGGACCACCACCATCAGCATTTACAGCAAAATGACTAAGACCTAAGTAGGCATCAGAGATAGCTGATAAAAGGAGCCTCACTAAGGCAACCTCTGTGAGCAAGTGATATTCCCACCCTCAGTGTCTTCTGCTGGGATAGCAGTGAGGAAGCTGAGCATGGTAGGTAGAGGGATTGATGTATTTGAGGATGGGACTTGTCCTGTCTCCCTCCTTTTATAAACTTTAACCATACTAGCACCTTCTCTGCCTTGACTAGCCACCAATCTTGTTGGATTGGACAGATTGTCGCAAAGAAGTGCTGCTTTTGTGCAGCTTTACAGATTTTTCAAGATGGAGCAGCCAGTTAGCCCCCAGGTGCTCTAGGGAGCTCTTCACCACGCTGCCTTGAAGACAGCTTCATCAAGTTGCTTCATGAAGTCAAAAAACACCAGATGTTATTTATTCTCCAAGCAAGGAGAAAGCACCTTGAGTTGCTGATGTTGCAGTACTCTTGCTTCTCTTGGGCTCTTGACCTGGACAGAGGAAACACAGAGCATGAGACTCATCCTTGGAGACAGTGTAACAACCAAAAGAATTAATGGATGTGCTAGAGAGAAAAAGAGATTCACACTAATGCTGAGAATATCCAGGGAAATGGGGCATTCATTTTCAGAGTGAAACTTTTCCACCAAACATTATTTTATTTTATTTTATTTTATTTTATTTTATTTTATTTTATTTTATTTTATTTTATTTTATTTTATTCACCATGCCTAAAGAAAACTCAGAGAAACAAGGGATTAAAATATCTGTAACTGTTCAGATCAGCTTTCTACAACCCCAAAATTTCCAGGCAAATATGCAGCAATTAAAGCCAGAGCATTGAACTGAGGATGTTACAGATTTGCCCTTGCTCACAAATTTTAGATGAGATCGGGCTTTCTCTTCCCTTAACCAGTTCATATTTTTAGGAGTTCTGCAGAGTACAGCTGTGGGTTGACTAGCTGGCTTGCCTTGGACTTGGAATTACTGGATATGTTGTCTGCATGCCTGCAGACTGCATGTTATCTGGAAATACTTAAGCCACCTTGAAGTGAGCTGATTTGGTCAATCAAGATGTGGAAGGAAATTACTTGCAAATATAGTAATGAAGCCTTCCAGCACATTTAAGCAAAATATGGATTCAAATTGAGTTCATTTTGGATATGAGGAAGGAAAATTATGCAGTTAATGAAGGGTCTTGGCATAGATGAAGAGGTTTTTTTTTTTTTCCTGAAATCACAAATTTAACTTGTATAGAAACTAGTAACTTCATGGAGCAGAACAGGCCAGAAAAATGGTGGCTAGTTATAGCTACTGCTGTATAAATCTCTTTAATAGCCATCAAAGCCCCTTTGTTTCCTTCTGAAGTTATTCTTTTAGCTACAGTGAGCAGAGAGCAACTGCGGGTTGAGCCTGGCCAGGATACCCAGTTCTTGAGAAATGTTGGGTCTCAACAACACATCAGGAGGCCTCACTTCTGGAAGCATCAGCAGCATTTCTGATGTATTGCACTTTTCCAATACAGCTGAGTTATAATTCATGCTAATCTGCTGTAATTAAAGGACTCTTGGCTTAGCTGGACACAGACCTGCTGGTTGGACATCTGTGCAGGCAGAGCTGACCCCAGGATTTTAACCTTGCACGAGTGAAACTTGGGCAAGATTTAGGAGGTAGGCAGGGAGGCTCAGCCCCAAGGTATACACTACTGCTTAAATAACCTGCACCATGTAAGTGAAGTAAGTTAATTGCAATAAAACCTGATCTAAATTTATCATTCCTCTAAAACAAACAAACAAACAAGCAAACAAGCAAAAAAACCAGAATACCTTGAGTTGATGAGGCTACTGTGTTTCTGCTTCCTTTAGACTTTTCATCTGGCAAAAGAAAACACAGGAAAGGAGTCTTAGCATAATTAACAAAAGTTTTGGAGAGCTGTTGGTTTCTTGGCAAATAAATTTGTTTCTTGGCATGAAACTTCCCCTCCAAGCATAAATAAAGCCATCTGGCTTGCAAGCCATGTCCTACACATTGGAGAGAGCGTGCACGAGATGTAAGCTTTGGGAGAGCTCTACCAGGGAGACCGTGGATGCCTGTAACTCCTCCTGAAAGCATTGCCTGGTGTACGGTGTCCACCACCTGGCTTTCCTGATGTGGGTTTGCTCCTGACCATGGCTGTATCCAGCCCTGTGCTCTTGGGGAGCTAGAATAAGTTGCTCACGGCAAATTCAGCGAGGCCACTTCAACTGAATGCTCTGACTGAGCAACGCACGTGGTGTTGAAGTAACCCAGACTCCCCGATGCCCCCCAAATCCCTTGGGCAAGGCAAGGTTCATCCTGCAGGAGCAAAAATGTATTGTTTTTCTATAGTTGTACGAAGGCGGTGACAGGCCCTTACCCAGCACAGATGACGTTAGTGTTGTCGTAGAGGTGGTAGAGCGTGTGCTTGTAGTAGTCAGGTCCAAAGAGGTGAGATTCAAGCCAGCTGTTGTTGCTGACTTTACTGAAGTTGAAGGCTCTGTGGAGTGAGCAAAGGGTTAGTTGAAACAGCTCTACACACCATGGGTTGTGTTTAGAAATAGCTTGGCTGTATATTTTTGACTTCTCAGACTCCTTAGGGATTATGGAAAATATAGTAAGAGAAGCGCTGAGCAGAACAGACAGCAAGCAGAGGGGTGAGCTGACAACTTCAGATGCACAAGTTCAGTCTAGTTTTTCCACCACTTTTTTCACTTTTACAATAAATATTTTAATAATATTCATCACTTTAGTATATGCTTTACCAGAATATTTATGTCTAGGAGTAAATTTATCCTTTTTTTTTGCAATTCAATAGGAGCAGAATCTCCAACATAGCTAGCACTGGGCAGCTTTTGGGGAACTTAACTTTTGTCTTTAAATTTTGGGGTCTCTTTGAAGGGTAAGTTATGTTTAGAAGAGATTTTTTTCAGGCAGAGCAGAAATTGCATCTCTAAGGATCTCTCAGAGTCAGAACAGATACCAGTCTGGAGTTGGAGAGATCCCATTGCGTCTTATTTGGGTTTGGTCTATTTGCAGACTGAAATAGGTAACTTTTTGCTGTTTCCATGGAAAAGGATAACAAAGCAAGACAGTCATCATTAGTGACTGGATTAAACCCAAGGCAATGTTCAGGCCTTGCACTGTCACAGATATCACGTTGTTTAGGGCCAGCCTTTTCGTGTCTCCCTTTCCCTCTTAGAGAAATGGGGAACATATCAGTTGCTGAGGGTGTGCAAGGCACTGGAAATTGGTAGTTGTTTAAGAGAAAAGGTGTAGCCAGGCTTCTCAAGAACTCAATAACAGTAAATGAGCAGTAAATATAATGTAGGGAACCTCCTAACAATGGCTTCATAACTGTTACTTCCGTTAAAACAATGCTGAAGAACCAAGGCCAGGCCTGGTCCGTGTGTGCTTGCACACACTGTGCTCGGGCTGAGCAGATCTTGAGGTAAAGAGACACTGCGTCAAGCGGGTGATGGTAGGACACAGTGGCGCAGGTGCAGCCCAGCCCGCCCCCTTGGATGGCCTTGGGACTGTGAATCATTTACCCACCCAGAGGTTGGCCTTCTCCACGAGAATCCTACCCATGCTATGACCCTACTTCTCCCCAGTGAGTTCAACGTCTTTCTCCCATTCTTACCAACCTCCCTAGATCCTTTTGAGGTAAGCTGGTTGGGTCCTTTATGCCACAAAATCCTCTTCTTCGTCCCCACAACAAAATCGCCTTCCTCCCCACCACTATACCCTTCTAACCTGCTTCCGGAGAGCCCAAAAGGACTGATATACATACAGACCATTTACAAGCTTTCCGGGATGCCTTCAGGGCCCCAAAGCAGTGTAGCTGCACTATCTGCTCTTCAGAGGAGCTCTGATTCTCCAGCTACCATACCTTGTCACGAGGTGTCTGCAATAGCCCTTGAGGGAGGAAGAGGAAGGCACAGAGCACTACTCCTTGGGATGTGTTACCTGAGGTATGGTTCTTTAGTTCAGCGCTGTGTGTTGTTGTTTGAGGCTGACCTGTAACACAAGCAGAGAGTTATGGAGGTGACATCTTCTATGTTTGTGCTCCTTGCTGGTGGGTTCTGGTTTCCTTTTGTGAACTCTCCTTCTGCATCCACACGTAGGCATGCACGCACACATTCAAATGGTCTTTTTAATAAGATCAAAACTGAAGTGGTACCTGCTACAGCGTGGTCAGAGGGTTCTGAGGAGGTTGTAGTACCTGAAAGGAAATGACAACAGTTTAAGCAGTGCTAATGTGTAACAGTCTGATATAAAAAAAAATGTTTTCTGTAGGGACTGGCTTTGAAATACATCAGTTTTCCCCAAGGCATTAGCTATGAAGTAGTAATGCACACTTTGAGAGTGTAGAGTTACTTGGTTAAATATGAGCTATTAGGTTTGTTCTAAGCAACTCACTACTGGAGTTTATTCAGTCACGATAAATGTCTTTGCCCATCCCCTCCTCTGAGTGGAGCATGGTGGGGAAGATCCGTGTCTGAGAGCCAGGCTGTCTGGACCTGGAAAGAGGGGTTGAGAGAGTAACGTCAGATGAAGCCAAACCCTTTAGGGACCCTTCATTTGCTCTTATGTGAAAAATCAAGGCAGCATAAGTGGTGTCATTCCTTCCCCGTGAGCCTCTTGCTCTTTCTTGGCAGAGGAAGCCTGTTTGAATTGGTTTCTGTGGCTGTTTAAAGAGTGCAGACACTTGAACACTTTGTTTCAATGGGATCTTGATGGATGAGGCTCGCAAAGGACTCGAGGCTGTTTTTCTTCCTGTCTCCTACCTTCTGCCCCCTGCAACTGCCTCCTCAGAGCTGCCTGGAGCCTCGTGGCTGGGTTAGCTCCCACGTGGGGAGCAGGCGCGAGGCTGCAGCTGATGGGCTGACACGGAGCTGCCCTCCCTGTTGGGTTGGCACTGGAGGAGCATATTGCACACACCTTGCTATCTCAGGACTGTGGGAGTTGCAGAGAGTCTCAGAGAGCTTCTTAGCTTATTATTACTATTATTTTAATATCTGCTGAATCATCCCTGCACCAATCCTCCATGTTGTCAACTCTTAGAGTATCTGATGCTTTTCTCTAAGCTGCTGTGCCTGGAATCCTATGATAAGTTGAGCTGCTGTTTAAAAAGGAAAAAGAAATATCCGGTTCTCATATTTTGCAGCAAAAGCTTGAAAATATGAGCAAAATATACTTTAAATGGTCAGAAATCAAACCCAACTGCTTTAATTTTGAAAATGTAATTCTGAGTTTGTCTTTTTTTTTAATGTACTTCCTAGTTAGTATTTTAATAATTCTTGATGGTGATACCGACACTGCCAGAAGATTCTTCAAAGAAGCTGTGTTAGCACAAATAAAAGTGGCTGAAAACTGGGAGGCGAATCCCACTCCGACAGCAGCATAGATCTGGAACGAGAGATTTCTACTGCCATGAGCTAAGGCTTGTTGGCCACGGTCCAAGCAAAAGCGGTTGGAGGAGGCTCTGGCTGGAGGAGGCATTGAACCCGGGGCTGATTTTGACCCTGTGGCCCAGGCGAGGGAGAAGTGGAAGTCTTCATCACATCGGGTTACTGAAGCTTGGCTCGGAGCCCACCCCTCCGGGGACTGTCTGGGTCTAGCGAGCTCCTGATTGATGTCATCTTTCTCACGTAATTATCTTGGAGCCCTAATTGTTTTTCCCTCTGAGGCTTTATGAAAAGGATCCCAGCCCAATGGGAATGAAAACAGCATGTAAACCACAGTGAATGCAAGATAAAACAATCTTTCCAGATAGGATTTGCCTGTAAAAACCACACTTGAAAACTCTTCTGTACTTTTCTGTCTGGCTTACTGGGCTGGCAAAACTTGCTTGCATAGCAGCACTGATACTGGGAAATACTTTTCTTGTGGACCTCTCCAGGGCTGCGCTCTAGATAGCTTTCACTCAGATGCCTGCAGAGAATGAAGACTGAAAGGATGGGACAAGAGTGAGAGGAGATATGATTTCAGTCTCCAACAGCCTAGAGAGGAAGAGGCTGATCGGTTCTGTACATCCATAGGGACAAATGGGCCAAGACAAGTGAGCTAAGCCTGCATCAAGAGGAAGGGAGTCAAGAAACCCTAACATAAGGATCGTGAATTGCTAGGCATGGTTGCATAGGAGGACTGTGGGATATCCTTCTTTGGAGGTTTAAAAGAACAGATTAAATGTACCAAAGTCTAAAAAATAGGCTTCTTGAAATTGTCCCAGTTTTTTGTAGTGTCTACGTCACATGAAAGCACCAAGAATTGCTCAAATAGCTATTGTCTTCACTCAGTAACTTCCAGACAGCTTAGCTGGTGCTTAATATACATCCTTGGAGGAAAAGAGAGAGAAGAGTCCTCTCAGCTGGCAGTTTATTCATCCTTTTTTAGTGTAATTAAGGAGAAATCTAAAAGCTTTAATGGGACCTCTGGGGAACAATAAGCTGAGAGAAAAGAAGACGATGTTGACTGCTGCTGTACTGTTGGACCTGGACAGAACTATTCCATGGGGTAGCTCAGGTACCTCCAGAACTAGCACAAGGGAAGGAGGATCCCACTCAAAGCTCTTCCATCAGAGCTTACCCCTTCACTGGAGGTCAGACCAGAGCACTGCCTTAGAAGGAGATTTCACAGAACAATTTGCAAAACCACACCTTGGGGAATAACCTGGGGTTGTTCTAAACCAGACAAGCAAGGAGGTGTTGTCCATGCCCCACCACCTGAGGTTGAACAGTAACAGCCTCCTCAGCAGCCCTGCTGCTGCGTCAGCCATACATTTGCTTGGGCAGCTGGTATTATGGATCATGGTACTAATGTAGCCAAAGAACAGCAGTAAAGATGTTTAGTTTTTAGCTGTATCAGATCCCTTCACAGTTGGGAATGGGAAGAGCCTGGAGGAGACCTGGTGTGCGTTGGATCTGTTACAGAAAAGTGACCAGCCATGGTGTGAGGAGATGAGGAGATGGAGATATCCCTCTTGGCCTTTTGTTCTCCAAGGAATTACCCAGCCTTCTCTAAACACAACAGCACGTTACTTCGGCACGGAGCAGGGCTGACTCGGGCTCCTGGCCGCTGCTTCTTGTGACACTTCCTCCACCAGCTTAAATAACCAGGACTCCTGTTGTGTCGGGTGTTTTCTTTTGGGGAAGGTGCTTAGCTGTTACAATGGAAGAACAGCAGAGCGGCACCGACATGCACAAAACAGGAAGGGCCTCGGCGTGTGTTTTGCAGGGTGGGCAGCAGGACGGGGAACTCTTGTGTTGACGGTGCCACCGTGCTGATGGTGGCTCCTGGCCATTGCGCCGTTTCCTCCCTCTGTTTCTGGTAGCAGCCCCGGTCCCGCTGTGCTCTGGCCGTGGCTGCTGTATAAACAAGTGACAATAACAGGCAGGGGACAGCCAGCATGCCTGTAATTGCTGCGAACATCAAAGCGCGTAAGCGGGTGGCCGTTGAGCTCGAGCCCTGCCAAGCTATTTGTCGTTGCCTCTTTGGGGGCAAGTGATTTACAGTGGGATTGTGCAGTTTTTAGGTGGAGCCTGGGAGCTTGAGGAGGGATTTATGATAGGAAATACTGCTTTATGCTCTTGCAGGAACGGGAAAGTCCCGATAACCGGTCAGAGCAGTAGGGCCTAAGAGAGCTGTGTCTGAACTGCAGGCACTTTTCAGTTCTCTGACTCCAAACTAGGCTTGTCTTCAATTATTATTATTATTTTTTCTTTACAGTGGACCAGGGACAGGGGAAATTTGGATTTATGTTATTTTTAATATTCCTTTTCTGATGTTAGATGTGAGTGCTGCATTTGAAGGCCAAGGGCCCCTTCCACATAGCCCGTTCTCGGTGACCCCGGAGCTGAGAAGTTCTTGCCCTGCCCTGTGCACCACCCCTCCATGTAAAACAAAGAGATGCTAAGTGAGTGTTAGGTATTTCTGCTTTAGTATCTTACTTCTGACGGCTTTAGGCATTTAAAGAGTGGTTTATTCAGCTCCTGGGCAAACAGAGGCACTGATTTTAAAAAGGCTTCATGGCATGGCCTTAGTATAACAGCATACACAAGTTCTTCCTGATGCAGAAGAGACCTGGACCAAGTATGGAAATATTTCAGAGGGCTTGTGCTGTCCAGTCGGTGTTGACCGACTGACGGATTCACATGGGAGGATTCTGGGATCAGTGTGAAGGCACAGAAACTGGGACTGATCCCACTGCACTCAGAACCACTGAGAAAGAGGCACCATCTAACCAACCCCCTTGCAGCTTGTAGCGCTGGGCTGGCTGTCGTCTCCTTCCTCAACAGCTTCGGAAGGAGAAGTGATGTTGTTCTACCTGTTTCTGTATGGAGTATTCTCTACAGCCTCTCTGGCACCGTACAGGCTTGCGACACCAGCATCACCCTTTGCTATTAGGATTTATAAACAAATGTTTTCAAAGCAGATGGATAAAGAAGTTTTCTTCCTTTAGTACCTTCCAGCTGAGCCTTGCAGAAGCGCTTTAGCTAATGTTTTCCTAACAACCTAAAATTAGATTTTTCAATTCATGTGTTTACACTTCAGTAAAATGACCCACAACAGAAATATGCTGGCCACTTAACACAAAATGCAGCAGTTTCCTGGGTGGGACTCAGACGTTGTTGAAACAGTAATAGCAACATGATCGGTTTGAAGTTTGCATGGAGGAAAACACTGTGTTAGAAACTCATGAGAGTGACGAGCCTTGCAGGAGACTATAGCCCATTTTATTAGACACCTGACAGGCACAAAAGAAAAGATGCCTCTGCCCAGAGCAGCTCAGAGCAGAACGGGTAAGGCAAAAGATGGGAAAGGAGGGAAAGATCACTGCTCTTTATAGAAAGATCTGACAACTGGCAGGCTAAATCAGATCCCAGATTGACATTTAAACACCCAGTTGTCCCACAACCTCAAGGAGTCTAGCAGCTCATTGCTGAGGTTCTGGATTGAAATGACTTGGCCAAAGTTTTATGGAAAATTTAGAGGGAGCCAGGAATTAAATCTGTATCTCCTGAATCATTGAAAACAATCTTATCCTTCCTCTGCCCCTCGAGGGCTGAACCCGGGTCTGGGCATCCTCTGAGCATCGTGCTCTGTTCTCTCTGGTGAGCTGTTCTGGAAACACGGCACTGTTCTATCGGAAGACAATTAAAAACTACTTGAATTTTGAAAAACAAGCCAGCGAACAAACAATGTGGGGAAACCATTTGCGCA